ATTTGATTCTCCATTATAGTAACTAAAGGTACCCCTAATTTTGGGAAACCCCACACCCTAAACCCTAAACCCTAAATAGTAGTTTCCATTTTCTTTTCCATTATCCCTATATAACCCCTATACTTTTCCATTTGATTCTCCATTATTAAGGGGGAAATCCCTATATACTCCTTAAAGGGGACCTTGGGTTTCCATTTCATTTTCCATTTTCTTTTCCATTTGATTCTCCATTATAGTATTTTGGGAAACCCCCACATGTCTCTAAACCCTAAACCCTAAACCCTAAATCCTAAACCCTAATCTCTAAACCCTAAACCCTAAACCCTACCCCCAGATGTCTCTGAGGCACCACTACGACAAGAAGACGGGGGAACTGGTCCTAGACCTACTCCGGGAGCACGTGCACTCGAGGGGCCTGGAACTACCCGAAAAGAACAAGAAACTGGGTTGGTTTAGGGTTTAGGATTTGGGGTTTAGGATTTAGGGTTTAGGATCTAGGGTTTAGGATTTAGGTAGGGTTTAGGGTTTAGGGAACTTAAACTAAGTTGGTTTATGGTTTTGGGTTACCAGAATGATCCAGAACGAGAGCCTGAGAAGCTATGTTTCTATTTTGTATCCGCATTATGGTAACTTCTTTCAAGTCCCTTGATGGCAGCCCAGGAAACATCGCCGACCCCGCACTTGCTCCTTGGCCCTGGCCAAACGGCCTGTTGCAATGTTGCAGACGCGGTTAAAGGTTTAGGGTTTAGAGTTCCAATATTATTCCCTCATTCCTGGTATACGAGTTCTCCGAGTAAAATCCTAAACCCTAGACCATACACCCTGATCTACACAACTCTATTCTGAACGAGTAGGCCCCAGCATGAATTACTTGTGTCCTTGCGCAAGCTTCACGCTGCCAGGCCTGTATCATTCAGCCTATCTAAGCAGGAAAGCGTCTTCATATTCCTGGCTGCTCCCTACAGCTCCCATATAAGCCATAGTCTAAACTCCTTGAAGGGGGGTTCTGTAGGGGATTATACGGGGGAGTCTTAAGGGGGGATACTAGGACCTTACACCACGTGTCTCATTGGATGATCTGTATGGTTCCCCCCCCAAAAAAGAAATGACAGTTTAGTTGCTTGGAGTCTCTCAAAAACCTATTCCAGTCGATCTTGAACAATTTTGACCGCGTTAGACGACAATCCTTCTATTTTTGGGATTTCCCAAAGGGGGACATCAATTGTCGGAAGCCCGCATGATCCTTGCACTCCCACACATTTTTGCGAACCCACCCTTGGAGCAGTTTCTGCAGGCTGAGGGGCAAAGATGTTTGGGGGGGTCCCCATAAAAAGGATTATAAGACATTTGGGTTTATATTGGGGCCCCACTCTCAAATAAGCCCAGTTTCATATTCTTTTCGATTAGATTCTGTAGTTGGGCAGTTAACCCTCACATAAGCTTTACATATCCCTATGTAACCCTATGGAAGCCATTTTTAGTTAGATGTAAGGGCAGGAACATGGCTGGAGTCCAAGCAGGAGCTGAGGAAATCGTGGTGTGCCGGGGAATTTTGCAACAAATCTGCTAAGCCCTAAACCCTAAACAGCAAACCCTAAATCCTGAACCCCTAAACTCTAAGCTGCGTATGTTCCTCCTTAGGTCAGACTGCCCCATGTCTCCCAGCTTGGGGTGAACACCCAATTTTGGAAAATCCTGACTTTTACAGTTTCGATCCTGAACTCTTGTCGAGGCTTCTTCACAGTGGAGGCGGAAACGGAAGCCCACAAGGCTGACGTTGTGTGGTACATTGACAACTCCACGGTCAGGAACGACAAGGATCCGGGCACTGTGACTTCAGAATCTGGGTTGCTGTTAAGAAATTTAAATTAAGTTACCATAATGGGTGTATATGGTAATTAATAGGGTTTCCCCAATATAGTATCTTAAATTAAGTTCCTTAACAGCAACCCAGGAATTCTTCAAAGCCAAGACGCTGGGATCCTTCCACTTGGGTGGGGACTGAAGCTGCGGCAGAAAATCTGCCTGCGCTACACCGCTGCCACAAGTGCGGCACCCTGGGACTGCTTGTTTCTGATGGTTTCTGATGGTTTCTGATGGTTTCTGCAGATCAAAACAGGAGCGCAGCTCTCGCAACAGTCTCTTACATATTTTTGCGCTTGTAGGCTGGCTCTGTGCCCTGCTCTTTCCAACCATCTGCCAAGCTACTCCAAGCCTCCGTCAGTGCAGGGCCCAAAGACCCAGCAGACTCCTCTGAGCCTGATGATTTGTTCCGCACCTGTAAAAACAAGGGCCCTCAACTTCAAAAGGTGGTAAGACGTAACATCAGCTGATTTATACCAGCACGCTGGCATTGGCATCTTCCCGACGTCATGCATGTCTTGTATGACATGCAGGGTGGCGACTACAGTTTGCCTGATGCTAACCCACCACCTTCGTTTTTGCGCTCAACCGGCCTGATGGCTTGAAAGCGCAAAAAGAACTGCGCAGTATGCAGCCACACCTTGCGAGAGGACAAGATTAAGTGTAGCTACTTCATGACGCGCAGTGTAATTTTTCTCAGCCCTTATCTTCGGAAACCTCAGCCGCAGCAATAACCTTCCAGACCCTCAGCCCGTTTACAGGGGCACCGAACAGTTGATTAGCACCACGCATTCTGGTGCAATCTCAGTCTTCTTGGATAGCAGATCGTTTCAATCTCATGCACCAAAATGGATACAAGGATGCCAAGGCCAATGAGGCATTGGCTGGCATGATTCATCCACCAGTCAATATCCGGAGGTAATTTGCAGAGTTGAACTTGCTATAAAGGGTATATATTGGGGTTATATAGTATATTAGGGTTATATTGGGATAATGGAAAATATAGTGGGAACTAGTATATTATAGGGTGTGTGGCCTGCCAGGGATTCTCAATGGCTATGGTTATGGCGGAAGTTGAACGTCCGAGCCTCATGGGATTAGGGTTTAGGGATAAGGGTTTAGGGATTAGGGTTTAGGAATTAGGGTTATGCATCTTCAAGTAAAAGCATTTCAGCTCTTCAATCCTGAGGTTCGGTGCAGGCGATCTGCACACGACTCATGGAACCGCATGTAGAGGCATGCCTTTGGGTTCGTTTCAAGTGGAATGAGATGGTAGTTTCCCAAAAAAGGGGGACCCCAACATAAACCCCCAAAATACTATGACCCTTGCTATAGGGACCCAAAAATGGCACCCCCTGTTTTGGGAAACCCTAGCCCTAAGCCCTAAACTCCGAACCCTAAATATTCCTATATATCTTAGGTGGACCCCCCACCTTATAATAGTGACTATAACGGATAATAAGGATTATACTAGGGTCCTCTTATATTCCTATTATACCACTATTACAGGGTGGGGGGTCCTTCTAATATATATCCCTGTATTTCCCAACCGTGAACCCTGGATAGGCAGCCGCCGGGACGCTGGTTCAAATCGAGGGCCTCTGGGATCTGGCCAAGGCATCGATCAGTGGAAGTGCTTCCTGCCATGGATTAGGGTTTAGGCTATAGGGTTTTGGGGGACATTTGGGGAAAATATTCCTTCCATGGATTATATGAGGGTATACATAGGGACAGTATGGCCCCAAGAACGGATAAACCAAGGGAAAAGAAAGTGGACAGTGAAATGGAAACTGAGATGGGTGTCTTCGTCTCTTTCACTTGCCGGACCTTTCATACATCGACACATTCTAGACTCCCTAGATCCTAACCCCTGAACCCTGAACCCTAAATCCCAAATCCGAAACCCGAACTAAGAATGCCACCTTGTGAGGCCAACTCTAGGAAGCTCATCGACATGGACCATGCTTGCACCTGAGCTTTCCGATTCATCCACATTTCTGCATGGCACCAGGACTTGCCACCAAGGTTTTCCGAAACATGCAGGAGGGGCTTCTGAAGATGGATGGCTTTCGTCTCTGTCTCAGCCACTTGCAGTTACATTGGGATCGAGGATAATGGGAAAGAAAATGGAAGCTAGTATACCATAGTATTTCATAGTATATTATAATATGGCATAACAGGATGTTGTGCGGGCGGTGCCTCTGTTTTGTTTCAGCAAGGTACGGATCTTGAAAGATTCGATTCCACTCTCATCAAGCAGGCCTCTCCTGCATTGTTCTATCATTGCTTTTTTCTTATTATTACTATTACTATTATTACTATTTATCATTAATAACATTACTACTATTCTTATGACCTATTAATATTCGTGTTATCATAGAAGCAAGAAGCAGACGCAAGGCAAGGACTCACTTGCATATCCACAGGTTCGGAGATTCAGGTAGTTGGGAGACATGAACTGCTTACATCGGTAAGGACGACAACAAGGACGGCGGAAGAATGCCGCACACATATAGCCCCCAATAGAGTCACCTATATGACCCTGGATACAGCACGCACATGCTCCCATTATAACCTTTGTACAAGTACACAGTTTCCAGAAACCAGATCACCACCAGTATCAGATGAGGCCATCGCAGAGCCATTCGCAACAAAGAAATGGGTGTTCATAAAGTTGGAGTGTATATTGGGGTCCCCCTATTTTGGGAAATTACCTTATCTATTTCAAAAAGTGTGAAGCGCCCGGAGTCCAACAGGCGGCAAGCCAGAAAACAGCGTGGCCCGAAACATGAGTAGCAACGCGGAGAGACAGCAGGAATCTTCTCAGAACCTAACAGCACGAGCAAGAATCTAGCTGGTGACTGGATAGTCGGTATGAAGTTTGTCCGTCAGTGCAGAGGCCATGGAGACTGAAAGCCTGGTGGAACGCTATGAGGCGAAGGATTAGCAGTGTTGATTTCGTGGCTCGTTTACAGAGCTCTTCGCCATGGTGGAGGTTGAGCTACAGCAGGTGAAAATGATGTCCAAGCAGAAGGAGACTTAGAGCGCTTGCCTGCTCCAAGTGGTTCGGCCTGTCCTCTTTAAATGCGCGTCGCAGGAAGAGACGCATTTGCAACAGCGGCGTGCTCTCGACGCTTTGCGGAGCACGTCTCAGTCAACACTATTACTACAATTATTGCCAGTATTACTCTTACTGTTATGATGATTACGACCATTACTACTGTCATTTTTATTATTACTACTACCATCATATTAGGATAATCATCATTGCTATTTTTATTGTTATTCTCACCATGCTTAGTATTCTTCCTACTATGACTATTACTGTTACTATTACTGTTGCTATTGCTTCTGGGGTCTTCCGCGGTCACTGCGCAGTTGCAGCAAGGCATGAGCTACAGCACCTGCGGCCCTTCCTGCATGTTTTCAGGGCCACTGGAGCTATAGTCTAAACTCCTTAAGGGGGGTATAGAGTGTCTAGGGTATAGGGTTTAGAATTACGGGGTTGTAAAAGGTTTAGGGTATAGGGTTTAGAATTAGTTAAGGGTTTAGGGATTAGGGTCCAAGCTCCTTCAAGGGGGGATATACAGGGGATTCTATAGCGGGGTACTATAGGTTCTTAAGGGGTTGAGATTATGGCTCACTAAATGGAACTGGTGAAGCCTCTGCAGCTGCGTGAACGGCAGGAAGTTGCAGTCTGATTGTGAAGAATCCTTCTTCGCAAGCGTGGAGCCAAGACTGGCACGGGAGTCAAAGCGCAGCAGAAGAGAAAGGCGTGAAGACCACATGCTCTAGGCCTGGAGCAAAAGTTTGGAGAGGTGCACAGCGCATGATTTTGGCATTCATGTGCGGGTGCTGTGCTGCTGGTCGCTGATTTTCTTTTATCAATCTACATATGTGGAGGTTTCCAGATCTCCTTGTGGCCCCCCTATATATTTAGGGTACTCAGAAGAGACCACACGTTTGACAAACCCCCATGCGTACTCTCTATCTCTCTCTTTTGACTGTTCCGCGTCCCTGTTGCTCACAACTGACTGCCAGTTGGCGCCCCTCAAAGCGGAAATAGAGGCATGAGTCTCAGCACCAAGTTCTTTCCAAGGCAAGCTTGACTTGTACTGCAGCATTAGTGGTAGTAGCAGTAGTAGCAGCAGTAGCAGTAGCAGTAGTAGTCTCAATTTTATTTTCCATTTTCCCAATAATAACCCTATCAGAATATGGCTTCCATTTTATTTTCCGTTATCCCTATATAACCCCAGGCAATAAAGGAGCAGTAGTAGTAGCCTCGCAACTTTGCTTTGGGCATGGCCATCTCCCTAGGCCAAGATGGCTGGCATGGAGTTGAAGCACCATGGCCTTACGGATCAGGCTTGGAACATGAAGTTGGGGGATGGATACTAAGGGTATACTAGGATGATGGTAATAGAAAATGGAAACTACTAAAATGGGTTTAAGGTTTAGAGTTTTGGGTTTAGGGTTTTAAGATGGACATTACAGTCCTCGATATAAAGTGAGATTGTATCCTGTTTTGGTTCTTGTATTCTATGCTGAAGATAGGTCTTGCATAGTTGCTCAAACACCAAGAAACATGCAAACAATGCTACTCACCCCAAAGAGGCGCCCTGCCACTCATTTGAGCAACTGTCAATGCCTTATTGATAGACCCTTAACAGCGGACATAGGGACCCCGTTGTAGTTTAGTATACACCTTAATGCAATCCCTAGTAAGAAGCCCATGTCCATTAGGTTATGTAGGAAGTATGGACTGTAGCTCAATGTAAGGATCATTAAGGGATCTTATATAGCCCCGAATAAGGATCCCATGTCCATTAGATTATGTAGGAAATATTGACTGCAACTCATGTGAAGACCCCGTCTCACAAGCCTCAGCTCCGCGATGCGAGCAGGTCTGGAGTAGCAGCCGCCTTACTTGTGTAGTGGTGCTAAAGGGGGAGTGGGAGAGTGAATATAGGGACTATTACGGGGGTATATGTGGTAGTTTCCTCAAGTAAGGGGACCCCGATGTAGGCCCCAAATTACTATAATCCGTATTATCAGGACCCCCAACATGATACCCCTAGTTATGGTACCTATGTTCACTCCCGCACTGCCCCGACTGTCTCTAAAGCACCAGTAAGGAAGTTGTGTGCTGAGAGCGACATGAGGCGAAAGTGCCATTGCCAAAGTCTCTGGTGAGATCTGCAACGTTCAAGACCGGTTCGATCAGCTGAAAGCAGCAAGGGCCTTGCTTCTGAGCCTGTGGGAAGGGAAGGGACCACTTGGTTTGCAAAGGTGGTTTACGGTTTGGAAGATGAGCGTGAAAGTCGTCAGAAGCCGGATCCCTTGAAGCTCGTCCCACGATCATAGCATTTGATAAGTTTGATAGCGGTCTCAGTAACAATATATACAGCATCGATGATTTGGATTGATAGATAGATAGACAGGTGTTTCCTATTACTTTGGCAAAGACGATACCTAGATCGATAGATTCGGGCAACAGCGTCCAGTTGCAGCTCAAGGTTAGAGACCATGCAGCAGGAGCTGGCAGATTGGTGAGGGCCCTAAGGGTTTCAGCGTTTTAGGGAGGGTTTTGGGGTTTAGAGTTTTAGGGTTTTGGGGGGTTAGGGTTTAGGGGTTAGAGTTTAGGGTTTAGGGCTAGTGCGGACGCGGTGCAATGCTCGGTGTGCTGTGCCACGAGGTTGGGTCAATCTCGCTTCGAGGACAGACATATGTCAATGTAGACGCTGTGAGCTTTTCTTGTTGGTTCTTAGTAGGGAATAAGGGAATATACTCCTCATATAATCCCTGTATAATATTTTCCCGTATTCCCTACTTCAGAACCAGTAGCTTTTTTGATATGTCGTCCTGGTCCATGCTTGCGAGGCTGCCTCTGTGCGGAAGGCAGGGATGGAATGCTCATTACAGCCTGGGTAAGGCCCACATCCAGTAACGGTGACATCACAAAAATATGCGAGGATTTCACAACGTAAATGCCACGACCCTTTGTGGTCACTACTAGTGGGTGGGGGCCAAACCTGAGCGGCAGCAATGCAAGGAGCATTTCTCTTGTGCAAGGCATTCGCCGCGGCAACCACGGCCACCAAAGAAAGCCTCCAGATAGGGCGTCACTGGCCGGTTTGTCACATCAATAGCAGTGATCGTGATAATGGCAGTGATAATGATGACTGAACAGTTGACTACGGTAATGATATTAAGAATACAGCCAGTAAGAACTAACTATTCATTCGATTTGTCCTTTGCTTGTTTCTTCCGCATTTCAGGCTTGATGTGGCCACAGTCTCAGATGTCTTTGACCATGGGGAAACCCTAAACCCTAGAGCCAGGGGGGCGAAAGGCAAGTCTCAGGCACACTATGTCCATGCGAGGGCTACATAAGCGGTAACATCAACCCTGAACCCCAAACAATACAGTACAGTAGCTTCCATTTTTCCATTCCGTTACAGACCCCTATGTATCCTTCTATAGAGCTTATATAGCCCCTAGATATCTCCAAGCCCTAAACCCCAAACCCTAAACCATATCCCTTGTTAAACCTGAGCTGCGTCACAAGGCCGCAAACCAAATCGCCAGCTTCATGGATGAGGTGCGTGGCTTCCTTAGAAACGAACAAGGGATATCTAGGGTTTAGGGTTTGGGGTTTAGGATTGAGGGTTTGGGGTTTGGGGTTTGGGGCTTAGGATTGAGGGTGTGGGGTTTGGGGTTTAGGGTTTGGGGTTAATTAGCAAGGGATATCTAGGGGCTATATATGCTCTAGATCAGGATATTTAGGGGAATATAAGTGAATGGACATTTTCAACTTCAGGAGTTCATCTGCGAGTTTCCGAACATGGGTGGTACCTAGAATAGGGTACTGACGTTGACAAAGCCCTCCGCCCCGCATGTGAACCCTAGACCCTAAGCCCTAAACCCTAAACCCTAAGCCATCATCTTCACGTTGAAAGAAAAGTTAAACATGGAACCCCAGGAATGGGATATTGTCCTGGAAACAAAAGGAAGTCAAAAACCTCCATGTGCCAGAATCTAAACTCTTCAAAGTGGGTATAGGGTTTAGGGTTTAGGGTCTAAATTCCTTAGCAGGGGTAAAAACAGGGATTATCGAGTGGACTATTATAGAGGCTATTTTGGGGGATACTATGAGTGTGGACTCTGGCTCTCATGACTTCGCCGAGGCTCCGAAAATCAGAAGCTCCTTGACCAGACAGAGGAAATCCAAAGACAGACGGCCTTGACCTGCAACGGCTTCAGGACCCCCGAGATGAAGCGTCAATGGAAAAGAACATGGAAGCTACTATAATGGGTTATAAAGGGGTTATATAGGGATAATGGAAAAGGAAATGGAAACTACTATTTAGGGTTTAGGGTTTGGGGTATATAGTCCCCCCTTAAGTAGATAGAATATGGCTTTGAGTATATTGTAATAAGATCACCATATACCCCATCTTCTATCTACTTAAGGGGGACTATAGTTATCACAGATCGAAAGCAAGTTCCAGGAGTATTCTTGCATAGCATCCGTAGTTTTACTATTGGTCATCTTTTACTTGTTGCTATTACTCTGACTGTTATAGCTCATGTTTTACTCATTACTGCTACCTCTATTGTTGTTACTATCATTACTTCTACACTTTCTACATATATCAGTATTGTTGTTTCATTCCCGTTGTGTGTGTGTGTGTTTTTGGACTTTTCGCTTCTATTGTTCGCATGAAGCCACCATGTATCTGAATAGGATCCTTATAGTGCGCTTCTACATGGCGACATGCATATGGTTGCGGACATGTATACTGATGCACGATTATACACGTGCACACGCAGGTGAATATTTGTCTATATATATATATGTAGTTCATTCAGTTGAATTTGTTGATGAAAGTATGTATACATATACATGTCTACGCATAATCACATGAAGATTTGTCTTTGCACGATTTTGTTCCGCCTGGTTGGGGTTAGGGCGGAGCTCGATGAGAACCAGCGGCAGCGGCAGCTCGCAGACGCTCGGACAGAGGCCGCAGGACAAAAATCGGAAGGAAGCAGCGTCTTGGGGTTTTTGTGGCTTATATTGGGTTTTCGTGGGAGAATTGGAAATTTCATGGAAACTACTATGTAGTGTTTATGGTTTTGGGGTTTCCGATTTTGGGCTTAAGCTCAGTGTATATACAGCATGCATATGAATCATATACCTTCGGGGGACCTCTCACCTTGTAACAGTGGTTTTATAGGAATATACGAGGACCCGATTATAATGTTTATTGTCTCTTATACTCACCATTACGGGGGGGGGGTGTCCACCTAACGTATAGCCTCACTCTCCTCTTCGCCTGCAGAAAGAAGCCCCCTCAACCCTCAACCCTAAACCCTAAACCCTAAACCCTGAACCCTAAACACCAAACCCTAAAACCTAAAGCCTAAACCTTAAACCCTAAACCCTAAACCCTAAACCCTAAAGCCGCAGGCAATCCTCAGCGAGCTTCGTGAGGCCTTAGGGGGCTGTGCTTGTCAGCTTTGTCTGAGTGTGCGCGACAAAGAGGACCCCAAGAACTTGACCCATGTGAGTTATAGTCTCATTTTTTGGGTATATTATTATATAATGGGCTATATAGGGATAATGGAAAAGAAATGGAAACCCTAGGTCCCTTTAAAGGGATATACCTAAAACCCCCTTTCAGGAGTTTAGAACTAGACCTTTATGCTATGATTTGAGAC